AATCGCTGGAAAAACTCAACAGATCTGATGAAGGGTCACTGGATTCAAAACATTAACTTTGATTTCTCTCCACAGATGCTGCCAGACCTAGTGATTTCTATTTTTGTTTCTGATTTACAGCATCCGCAGTTCTTTCAGTTTTTATTTTGCAGAGAGGGTATTCCTTGTCGCTCAGCAACCATCCTTGTAGTGGGGCTGAGTGTCTTTGATAGAAGCTGGCACCTGTGACTAGTTCAGGATATACAAGTCACAGCAGCTCCCTGGATGTACAGCATAAGTCTGCATTATCTGACTGTTGTGGCCACAAATGATTTGCAGGTTAATGGAGTGGAATCTTTTTCTGTTCACAGAAATTACTGGTTGTTGATAGGGTGCTCTTATAGCTAGGTCACTTGCAGAAAACCAGTGATGGCTGTGAATTGTAATGCACTAATTGCTTAAGTAGCCACTTAAAGGGGGAAAGATATGAATAGTGGACTCTGGTGAATAGAACATCAGTGACATCCCAAATGCGTGTATGAGTAGAGGACTGTGAAATGCCACAGAGGGCCCCAGTTGCCCTGTGAAATAAACTGCTTACAAAAAGATTAGTGGCAGCTGTAACATTGAGTGCAACCAGGCCTTGTGACCAGCAGTAGCAGTTGATTTAAGAATGACATGATGGCTTAGGATTCCTTAGATTGCACTAAGCTGCACTTACTTTTGCATATACATTTGGTTCCCCATCAGAACTCTCGTCCTCCATGGTGGATCTTGCCCTACTGCTTCCCCTTATGGAGGCTGTGTGGCAGCCACGGTTCTTGTTGCCAAAGCTCTTCTCTTCTACATGAGCATCATTGCAGTAGCGGCATAGCAAGAGGAGCAACTGGATTTACCTCTGCCATTTTATCGCAATTGTAGCAAATCTGTGAGAATATTAAGAAAAAATACAATCTTAGTAAAGTGGTACATCAGCCCTGACATCCTTTCCTATGAAGCTCCAGGTTATTCCCTTATAGAGGGTAGTGTGGCACCTACACAAGGAACCAAAAGAATGTGCTCTGATCAAGCCAACAGTACTGCTTATGTACACATGATGGGTTCTTGTTTCCAACCTCACAGGAGCTTGGAGACAGGATTTCTTTCATCCCTGGCAATAGCTCTTCCTATTAGTCATCTATGTAAGTTGGCCAATAAGGTCTTCGCGTTTCCTTGGAAGCTGTCAGCAACTAATCCCCCCCTTCCCCCCCCCCCCCCCCCCCCCCCCCCCCCCCCCATTCCACAGCTCCAACCAACACCCCCAAGTCAGTGGTCATATCCCAGTTGGCTTTGGGTTTTGCATGAGGACATTGCAGTTGTAACATGTTGGACTGTCCTGTTGAGAAGACAAGTTAAGTAGTGAATCTACCTTGATCCATTGAATCATGTTGACCTCAGAGATCACATGATGGCAATCAGGGCACAATATTCTCTTAATCATTCTTCGAAGAAAGAACTTCAGAATTGGACAATTTGAGAAATGTTGAGATGCCACTTAATTGTGAATTGATGTATGCAATGGGTAAAAATTGGATTTCTGATAACTGCAATTGACATTGAGAAAGCCTTAAATTCCACTGTTGAACTCTGCCTCCTTTGAAAGAAACAGTTATTTACTCTTCCCAGTTTGTATGTTGAATTGTTGATGTTGACACCTTATTGTGCAGCTTAATTTGAGATCATCATGGTGAGGTTCCAATTTTGTATTCATGTCAGCGACTTACAAGCTTCGCCTGTGACCTACAAACTACCACCACACCTGCCAATTCCACGTGTCCTCTATTGGGTTTCTTGATGACCCTTCACCCTCTACTTCAGTTGAGCACCTTTACATGTCCATTGATATGTGCGCTTTACTCCAGAGCCCATGACTCTTGTAATTTCTGTGTTCTTGCTGATCCTTGCAGCCTCTCCATAATTGAGGCCAGAATGACCATGACTTGCCTTAACTCTTCCAATAAACTACCACTTGTCACCCTACTATCTACAATTGCCCCTGTTGCAGTGACCATTCCCTTAGCCACCGAATACAATGAGGCCAATCCCCTGACCTGCAGCCTCAATGTCAATGTGGACTGATTCCTAAAAACAGCCCAAAAGATTACATACAATGCACCAAGCTGACTGACCACATCCCATCCCTATACAGACTTTGAAGGACAACATTGACAGACTGCAACATAAACCTCAGAATGATTTTTCAAAAGCATTTTTCCAACCAATTTTTTCCGACTGACCAACAAGGTCTGATTGATTTTGGTTGATGTCCAATGCTGACTGTGGTCCAATCAAGCACAATTTGCTGATGTACGTTGTATCAAACCCTAACTTACCGTGGCCATTCCTCTGAACTAGAAACTCTCAATCCCTGTGATATCTTCAGATGGAGTGGAGTTCACCCTCGCCCCACTAAAGACAGCTCCCTTTTGTCTTTCTAACATTGCCATGCTCTTCAAGCAGATGTGGTGAGTTTGCTCCACATGCGACTGGCACATGTGCCATTTCTGACATTGACCCAGCCCTGTTCCATGCACTGTTATATCCCTAATGGCCCCATCCCAGCTTTTCATATTTACATTTTTATACAGGTAGTAGCTGCCTGCCCTTCCTTCCTCCCTGTAATTCTCTCTTTCTGACACAAACTTTTCCACCTTTCCTTCTGAGCTAAAGTTCCCTCTTATTGACAAGCTGTTGGCTGCCTCTATCTTCTACTCTGCTGCCTTAGCCTACCCATGAACGTGTTAGCTGATAATCTCATGCTGATTGTTAGAGGAATCAGGAAGACATTGGGTAGAATTTTATTGGGGCCTGAATGAGGTGGGCTATGTCAGAATTGCACAGGAAGTCTGATGAGACTTACCTTGACATTAGGACCAATTCACTGTGTCTTTCAACTAAGTCCAGATGTCAAGGTGAGATTCTCACTACAGAGTGGTGAGTTGCCTATGTAGAGGGATTATTGCTTGTTGATGATCTTATTAACTACACATGATGGGAGGAATTATATTTGTAAAAGGCTGATCCTGAAAAACATGGATGGGAATTGTGATAATGCAGGAAGAGATTGAGTCAGTTGCCAGGGGAAGATAGTGTATGGCCACACTTGGCATGGTCACCTCATATGCCAGGAGCTTTTAGGGATAGGGTAAGCTGGGCAGATACAGATTCATGCAGACAAGTTGTGTAGGGACGTGGAGAGGTGTGAAGTCCCGGGGGTTCGGGGAAGGGCTATTAGGAAAGAGATCTAAATGTTCAGGGCTTCACCGATACATAGAGATGAAGGTTGGAGACCACTGCCTGAGGAGCATTTGCTGTCCCCTTCCATTGTGTTAGAAATGGAAACTGCAGTAGGAATGTAAATAGCTGTCACAACACCCAGAGTCAGCAGGGTCAGTCTCTCGACCTATGAGAGAGGTGAAGTAAGACTAAGCAATGTGAGGTCCTTTAGACGGTGACAGAATTACACTTGAACCCATGCATTGTACAGAATACAGACCTACAGGGTTCCAAATCCCTGGTGATCCTCATGCAATGGCTCTTGTGTGCACCTTCCTGCCCCACACTTGCTGACAACATCATTCAGACCAACACTGTTGCAAACAGAGGCCAGGGAAAGATGAGAGATATTTGACCAATAGGGTCAATGGCATCAGCCAAACAGTTATTCATCTTGCTTCAGGGAGATGATGGCCTCATGGTATTATCACAAGACTATTAATCCAGAGGCTTAGCTAATGTTCTGGGGACTGGGTTCAAATCCCACTATGGCCAGATGGTGGAATTTGAACAGAACAAAAACAAATTCGCTTGAAACCAATGCTGGTTGTTGGCTCATTAATATTCCTTCAGGGAAGGAAATCTGCCGTCCTCACCTGGTCTGGCCCACATGTGACTCCAGACCCACAACAATGTGGTTGACTTTTAACTGCCTCTAAAATGGCCTAGTAAGCCATTTGTTTCAAGGGCAACCAGAGTCGGGCAATAAATCTCACCAACCAGCAATGCCCATGTCTCATGAGTGAATAAACAAAAAGAGGGAGGAGGCTCTCAACACAGACATTGATCCCTGGTGCATTCTACATGGACATGAAGTTAAATAGCACGCTGACTCAATTACAGTTAGGGCTAGGCATCGATTAAAACAAGCAGATGTATTGCAAAACCAATAAAATTTATGTAGGTATGATACTTTGTATACAATGCACTGTCCTGTGCCACCAATGTGTTGTCTTAAGAATTGTCCAATTTCTTTCCGTCCCAATAGGATTCAGTCTTCTCTGAGGTTTTGCAGCTTTGGTGGGGTAAGCCCGCTTGGAGGTGAAACCTTTAGCCCTGGAGGTTGGGTCAGTGACCCTGGGGCATTTGTGTCTGACAACCCTGATGTGCAGAATGTCTTTGTGCTTGGGGCAAGTGGAGAGTCCAAGGGTCAGAGGGAGTATGTGGGATGGAGGCTGAGGGCCCAGTCACTTCTGGAGTGTCCTGAGAGGAGACTTCCCAGGGGCCTGTGTGTGGTTCCTGCTCTGCCTGGGTACCTCCTGGATCCTTCCTGTCTCCTTGTGAGGAAGGACATTGAATCTGTGCCAGATTCCCTGCCCTCTTTTCACCATGCCCTCATTCCTGATGCAATGAAATGCAGCCAGACTTTATCCATGGCAACCAGCAACCTGTCCCTGGAGGTGACTGGAAAATCACGTGGTTGGGACAGCTGGGTTCCCATAGCATCCATGCAGCCCTGCAGCCCTTGGGCAATGATGCACATTAGTTACCACATACCTGCCTGCTACTCCTGTGCATATGGATGATATCCCTAATTGCCAACACCCTCTCCTACCTGAGGATGAGCAGCTGCCTGGTCTCCACTTGCAGGCTTCCAAGTGCTAGGGTCCTGGAGTGTTTCTTCCTCAGCCAGCTGCAGAGCTGACACAGTAATGTGCTTATCAGATTGTGTGCTCCCAAACTTTCTAAGCATGGCATTCCCATACCTGAGTATCCAGGCTGGTTGGAGGTGCAGGAGGCAGCATTGCCAATGCGTACCCTTAGGCTACGGTGCACTCTTCCTTCGAGGTTGAGGAGGTGGCTTCCGGCAGAGGAAGCTGCCACTCCACCAGTGTCATTGACGTCACTCTGGAACCTACGAGACACAGGGACAGAAGCATAGCAGCCAGTGGTTAGAAATAGACAAACAGCACTGAGAGCAGAATTAATGTCAGAGTCAAAGTGAAATGAAGAGTGGTGCTTACTTTATTGGTGAGATATGACTGTCTCGGCATCCTCACAGATGTGGTCCCAGTCTTCTCCTTTAAAGAGCAGGATTTTCTTCTCCGAAGGAGTGAGAAATCTGATGTCAGGTATGCCTCCGTCCATCTGAACCCTCTCTGCCCAATTGTGAGCTGCTTCCTTCTGGAATGTGAGAAAGGGAGCGATTGACATAAACGTGGGTGACATGACTTTAGTGCTGGTGCAGGTGGTTAAAATGTGGGTAAGGTTTTACTGAGCAAGTGAGTAGGCAACCATTGAGGCCATGCAGGATCAGCCACGTGGGAGGCTGAGGGATAATTAAACCGAGTGAAGGAAGATGCTACAGGCAATAGTGAGAATGGTAGGGGTAGGGCATGACCCTTGGATGGGAGGTGGGTGAAATAGCAGAGATAGAGTATGAAGTTGAGGATATGAAGGTAAAGTCGCCGTAGTCCTAACAGACCATAGGGCCGCTCTCTCATTAGAGGAAGAGAGACAACTAGTGGTGGCATAACCTAAGGGTCACCATGCCTCAGGTGAGGGGAGAGGTTGAGAAGGAGAGTTCTTCATGGTAACCTCAGATGGTGCAGGAATTGAACCAGTACCCAGTGTGGCTTCCTCTACATCGGGGAAACCAAACGGAGACTCGGGGACCACTTTGCAGAACACCTACGCTCGGTTCGCAATAAACAACTGCACCTCCCAGTCGCGAACCATTTCAACTCCCCCTCCCATTCCTCAGACGACATGTCCATCCTGGGCATCCTGCAGTGCCACAACGATGCCACCCGAAGGTTGCAGGAACAGCAACTCATATTCCGCTTGGGAACCCTGCAGCCCAATGGTATCAATGTGGATTTCACAAGTTTCAAAATCTCCCCTCCCCCTACCGCATCCCAAAACCAGTCCAGCACGTCCCTGCCTCCCTAACCTGTTCTTCCTCCCACCTATCCCCTCCTCCCACCTCAAGCCGCACCTCCATCTCCTACCGACCAACCTCATCCCGCCCCCTTGACCTGTCCGTCCTCCCTGGACTGACCTATCCCCTTCCTAACTCCCTACCTACACTCACCTTTACTGGCTCCATCCCCGCCTCTTCGACCTGTTTGTTTCCTCTCCACCTATCCTCTCCTCTATCCCTCTTCTATCCGCCTCCCACTCTCTCCCTATTTATTTCAAAACCCCCTTCCCCTCCCCCTTTTCTGATGAAGGGTCTAGGCTCGAAACGTCAGCCTCTCTGCTCCTATGATGCCGCTTGGCCTGCTGTGTTCATCCAGCCCTGCACCTTGTTGTCATTGAACCAGCACTGTTGGTTTTACTCTGCACTGCAAACCAGCCGAGTTGTTTTTCAAACAGTGCATGGTAAGATGGGACTAGAATCAAGTAAGAGAGCCACTGTAGATGTGGAGAAAATAGTTAAAGGGGTAAGTTTGGTAAGATACTGCAAGAGATCTCACTAGACCTCGTGGAGAGAAACCCTCCAAACAACCCAACGCAGTTGACATTAATCTAAAAAAAGTAAGATTCAGCCATTGTGCCAAGTGACTGGAAAGGCACATGCTGCACGAAGAGAAGGAAGGTGACATGTGTTGCCCTGTACTCACCCAGACTGAAGGCTCAGAATAAACGTGACAGATACCTAGTTGGTTAATGCTGTTAAGTTTTTGGAGTATCCGTTGGCAAAGGTTAATGGTAAGAGGAAGTTAATACAGTTAGCTGGGTAATTAATGAGATGTAAATGCACATGCTTGGGCTTCTCGCCACCTGGTGACTTTGATCTCACCATCTGAGGAGGAATAACTTAATTGCAACAGTTTTTCTCAACAGTCGAGAATCTGATTTGTGGGCTCTCACCTGATCGAGTCATTACCTTCACCATTATTCTCCCCGCTTCTGGGAAGGGAAAATCATATCCTAGGTTTCAAAAGGGAATTGGATTAACATTTGGAAAGGAGCAATTTGCAGGACTATGTGGAAAGAAAGGCTAGTTAGAAAGCTCTTTTATAGAACTCACAGAAGCATGATGGGCCAAATGGTCTCATTCTGCACTGTAAGATTCCCTGAGCTAATAAAAATCAACATCAGTGATTTGGGTCAGATAAAAGGCTTGGAAATATTTGGGGAAAAATATCAGTTTGCTTTGAAGAGCTCAATGCACTAACAAGATAAATGTAAAGTCTATTTGTATTGCATTTACCTCAATTGCACTAACATTAAGAGCTTTCAACAACAGAATGCAATAATAACAGAGAATAAATTCTGGATTCTTCCAGAATGAATTTAAAGAAACATTTGCTCCTGCATTTTCAAAAGCACATCATCTGTGAGTTAAAGCACATAGCAATTAGCTTTTAATATAGTCTGGACAATCTATAGGAATGTGAAGAGAGACAGAAATCATTTTACTGTGTTGGAGATGGACAAAAGAGAGTGAAGCCAATGATGAAGTCTTAAATCATTCCCAAATCAAAAAGAAATGAACTGATTTACTAAAGGCCTCTCTCTTCTGTCTCTCTGTATTGATCTCTTCATTAATATACACAATACAATTGGAAACAGTAATAGGCTTAAAGGCCAGGTCTGAAAATCAGATTTAAGTCATAAAATCTTCCTTGGGAATAATGAATAAAGTGTGTTGCCCATCAACAGTCTCAAATCATCAGGAACAGACTTGGCGCAAAAACAAAGCTGTGTCACAAAATCTTTGCCTCATTTATAAGTGGCTCAGTCTGTTCATTCCCTACCTGGTAAATCACCAGTTTATAGACTTTTCCAAGAAATAGGACAATAAGCCAATATCTGAGGCTAAACCAAACTGTTTGAAACCTTGTCATTCTGCTTGGCTCTGAGCTGAGCTTTTAACTCCTTACCTTTCCATCGCCAAGATCCCTTTCATAATAACCCATGTGAGATTTGTGAATTTTCCCTCTTGCATCTGATTTAAAAAGGATAATGCAGGATACTGCAGAAACTGCACACAGGGTTCTCATTCCCTCACATTGTTATTTCATCTCCCTGAGGACTTTTATCTCAATCATTGCTGCATCTCATGTTGCCAACTTGAGTTTGAAATATTCCGAGAGTTTTCATCACATCACATCTTGCCTCCTATTACCTCTCCCAACCAAACAAGCTTCCCTCGTCCCCTCACTGCACCTCACTAATATTTTTATAATCAATAAACACAAGTGTGAAAAGAAATTAAAACATTTTAAGCTCCTACAATTTTTTCTTTACTGACAACTGACTTTTAGAGATTCATCTTTAATCGCTAGAGACAACCCTGAAGAATTGGGAACCCACTGGGGACCTTCAAAATCCCAATGGCTGGAGACATAAATATGTGCTGGATAAAGAGATGTTGAGAGAGGAGGGAAAGAATGTAATGTGGTGTGTAGCAGCGAGAGGATAATTAACAAGGAGACCAGTGAGATTCCATCACTGCACTTAGAGCAACAAATGTGCATTGTGTGAATTCCATCTCTCTGAACGCTCCATTGAACTGCTTGACTTTTAATCTTCAAGCCTGCAATGGGCCTCCAAGTGAATATGTGGTCAGGCTGTTTAGACATTCCAAATAATATGAGAACCACAGAAAAAAATAATCACAGCCTTCACCAAGAGGCCAGGAGTCTCTCTGCTGCTGGCACCCTCAATGGCAAAGATTATTGTGGCAAGCTGCACGCTGAGCTAGACCTCCACTCAGCGATCTCTGACATCAGCAGTTCTCCTGCTCAGCTTATCTCACTGTCCTGTTAAGTATGAAGCCAAGCCACAGAAGGAAACTCTGAGTAAAAACACTTGGAGGGTATTTGCGTTGGAACAATATTGTTTGGGAGAATGAGTGGACACACAAGTCTTAAAAATCTACTTTCCAATCCTTTCAAAAAAGAATTGAACAAGTAGATCTCAGGGCCCATGACTGATTACTATTCGCTGAAATATGTACTGTTTTAAGGAATATGTGATACATGTTAACTTTTCCAAGTACTTGGAATTGGACCAGTCAGTCAGCAGTTTCTCCTGTGCAGGATGAATACAGTTAAAAAATGGTGCTCTTTTCTCCTCTAAGCCAGGGGTCCAAAATTAATGTGGAAAGTGAGAACACTGCAATTAAATAATTTCATCTATTTTCTTTAAGCTACATGTAGACAACAAATGTAAACAACAAGTGATTGCTTCTATGTCAAGCCTTTAACATAAAAAAATCAAAACTGCTACACGTACGTGGAATCATGAAATCCAATCCAATTTCCTTGTGAGATTCATGATTGAATTTGCTTTTTTTTTGGTATTCATTTGTGGGATGTCGGCGTCACTGCTGGCCAGCATTTCTTGCCCATCCCTAGTTGCCCTTGAGAAGGTGGTGGTGAGCTGCTTTCTTGAACCACTGCAGTCCTCCTGCTGTGCGTTGACCCACAATACTATTAAGGAGGGAATTCCAAGATTTTGACCCAGCGACAGTGACCAGCGACAGTGAAAGAACGGCGATATATTTCCAAGTCAAGATGGTGAGTGACTTGGTGAGTGGGTGGTGTTCCCATACGTCTGCTGCCCTTGTCCTTTTAGATAGAAGTTGTCAGGGGTTTGTAAGGTGCTGTCTGAGGAACTTTGGTGGATTTCTGCAGTGCATCTTGTAGATAGTACACACTGCTGCTACTGAGCGTCAGTGGTGGACGGAGTGAATGCTTGTGGATATAGTGCCAATCAAGTGGGCTGCTTTTTCTTGGATGGCGTCAAGCTTCTTGAATATTGTTCTATCACACTCTCATGCAGTGCATCCAGATCCAAACCACTTGGTCTCTGTGAAAACATTTCATCCCACCCCCACATCATCATTGTTTCTTTTGCCAAACAACTTAAATTGGTGTCTTCTCCTTGAATATTCTACCAATTTTAACAGTTTCTCCCTGTTTGATGGGATCAAATTCTGAAATATCAAACAGAATGGGTCTGTTGAGCCAACACATTTCCCTGGTATAGCTATGACAAGTCTATACTACTAGAAAAATCCAGGTGTGTGCAAATATCAGGCACATACATGACAGGACACAGTTCAGTCTACAGATTTTACTTGCTGCCAGTACAGCAATATCTCAATGTTAAAACGGTCACCCACATATTGAAATCCATCCATCGACTTCAACATCCCTAGTTTTAATCACTCCATTACTTGTTGCTGTGTCTTCAGTTGCCAAAGAGCTAATTTTTTGAATTGGATTTTCCCATTCCCTCAATCTCTCTAGTTCCCTTTCCTCCTTTAAGTTGCTTTTTAAAACTTACCTCCTTGACAAAGCTTTTGGTCACCTGTTCGAAGAAGCAGCTTTCCTTGACAAGCCTCCTGTGAACCTCCTTGAGAGCATTTTATTACATTAAAGAGGCTTTATAAAGGCAAATTGTTGTTGCTTGGTGAATCAAACTTTCAAGTGAGGACAGGGGAATGTAAATTGGATTCTGAAAAGATTTCTGATCCTCCATTTTTTACCCCTGGGGTTCTGCCTACAATAGAGAATAATTTCTCTAGTCTGTATGGGATTAAAAAATGAGTTGATTTCCAGATTGCTGTCCTTGTAGCTGTATGGAGTTTTAAATGAGCTCACAGAGGATGTTAGTAACAATAATGAGTTACCTCTGGCATCAAATGCTGAAATCAATATCATATTTAACTGATGTGTGAGAAATAGAGGTTATGCAGAGTTGGGAATCAGTAAGAAGGCTGTAATTTAATAAGTGCTTCAGATGATGTCATATGGTTTACAGGCATTATCTGAAACCTGGGATTAAGTTGCAGCCTTTTACTCACTCACATCCATGGATTAATTTACAAAGCACTGACTCTACCCCATGAGTGATACTCAGCTACATGATGGTGCACCCACATGATTCCTGGGCTTTCTGCCTCGATCAATCCACCTGCCTGTAAAACATTCATAGCCAATGCCCTAAATTTACTAGTATCTAGCATCTCAAAGTCTTAATCAAGGGTGTTAAACAGAAAACCCTAACCCTAACCCTAACCCTAACCCTATCGCAATCCGACCCCACCACCAAAGACATCTTTCCCTCCCCACCCTTATCTGCTTTCCGGAGGGACAACTCTGTCCGTGACTCCCTTGTCCGCTCCACACTCCCCTCCAGCTCCACCACA